CAGTACTTTAATTTATGTTTTCCCTTAAAGTAAAATTCCTTTTTAAATTATTGTCACGTCATTATTGAAAATAAACTTAGAGCTATTGCCAGTTAGTAGAGAATTAAATCTTGTTAAGAAATTAAAAATAATTCTACTGATCAAAATTATTTGATGTAGAACAGCCGACTATTTACTAAGCATACTACTTCTTTCGATAAATAAAGATCAATTATTGATCGTCATTTCTTATTAATTCTTATTTATTTGAGTAATGATAAGTAAATGCATATAAGTGCAGAGCAAAAAATACAACAGTTTGTTTTTTTTTTTTTAAATGAGCAAAAATTATGGACATGCAATTTCATTTTAACGTTCAAAGTTATTCTTGTCCGCTAACTTTAAGAAAGTTTCCCTTTTAAAAAAGATAATGTCAAAAATTTGGGCTTAAATTGTTTTTTATAATGTTTCTCAACTTTAGCTAATTCAAAAAATATTGCTATATCAGAAAAAATGCTAGATATGTCTCATTTTGATAAACAGCAACTAAATAGAAATATGCAAAAATATTCCAAAACCATGCTATTTTTAGAATCATCATTTCCAAAATTGTTTTCTTTTCCTAACATTAGGCTATTATAGTTTTAACACAAGTTTTGAAAAAAATATCAATAAAAATTTCTTCTCATAATTCGTAAGCAAGAATATTAATGATTCATTGATAATTGTTTCATTGATCGGAGTAGTTAATTTTTTTTAGTTAAAAATAAGCCTCGCAATTCTTTAACTTTGTTTCTTTGAACTTGGGGTCAATTCATGCATGTCATTCGACTTGAAATTTCAAATATAAAATGCAAAGCTAACAAGAATGCGTAACCTAGCTTTAACTAATAATAAAAAAAGGACAAAATCTTCGGCAAAAGAAGTTATCTCAAGAGTCAGAGTTAAAAAAGTATTGTTGAAAGTTTAACAATTGTTACTCTTGTTTAAATAGAGGTATTATAAAAAAAAAATTCTTTCCTTAATATTTTTAATTGTACTTTTTGATTAAACTAACAAAATGAATGTATAAATAATATCCACGTTTTTTACATCAAACCAAGTTCACTTAGTGTCTTTCGCAAATCTTATTAAGTGAAAATTCTTGAGCCTCCTAGTAGGGAAGTAGGGTATTTTATGCATAATAGGCAGTTTCCCAAGTGGACTCTTATATTAATAGGTAGCTAATTTCTTTAAAAATTCTAAAAATGCCACTTAACATTTACTAAGTTTTTCAATTTTATCGAAACGAAATATCGTGAAATTTATAAGACCTTATGATTGTGCATCATAATCGCTATCTTTTTCAGGTTCTCGAAATTTTTTGTTGGATCTTTTTTCCCCTCTTTAAGAGACTCGAACAGAGGTGTAAAAGCTATTAGCCCTACAATTCTTCATAAATTTTATTACTTTATGTAAATTTGACTTTAGTACAAAATTTTCATACAAATGACGTTAAAACAACTCTAAAAAAATAAATGTCACATAAAGAGTTCAACGTTCACATTCTGAAAGCTTCCTAATTAATTAAGTAACTAAAGTTATTAATTAACTAACTAAGTTATTAATTAGTTAGCATATTGAGGAACCATTAAGATTTGCACTTGGTTCGGGAAAATACGATCATTAGGACGAAAGTTATTCAGGGAGATAATTTTTTTTGTCTACTGAACTTATAAATGCATCATGATTATGCATCATGAAACTAGCAAAAGGACAGAGAAAAAGCTGGACATGAGATTAGTTTATAACTTCAGTAAAAGATCTGTGGATAACTCTTGACCAACAGTTAAATGCATATACTTGTAAAATGAAAACAAATCACTGCCCTAGTATTATATTTTATAACATGCTGAATTGTTCAACTCATAATGCATTTATTCACTTGACAACAAATATAAAATAAAAAGAAATCAAAATGGCAAAATGTAGGCTCCTTTATAAACAACTGGGTAAAGGATTAATTTTGCCATAATTTCAAGCAAATTGAGCATCTCCCTTCAAAAATGAAGAATCGCTAAAAATAGTAGAAAAACTTTTAATTTTTGAAAAACTTTTAATTAATTTTGGTTTTAATTTGAGTCACAAGTGGTACTGGTGCTCTGGCTTTTCCAATTCAGTGATAATAACAAATAACAAAATGAATATATCATGTATAAAATTTAAAAAAACACACACATTTGTAAGTCGCATGCGTCCTATTATCACCCAAACTGTAAGGAAAAGCAATATTTTTTTTCAAAAAAACTTTAATATATTTATTGTTTTATCGTGGCAATCATATTTATACTCATTACAATATATTTTTATTTATATTCCAAGTAAAATGCGTTTAAGAAAAGAATTTTGTTAAGTCTCTATATGAAATACACTAAAAGTTCTCTCTTCGTGTCACATAAATCCAAAGCATACGCTTGGATAGTAAATGTTAACAACAACACGGATAAGTTTAATTAGGGAATAAACCATAATACGCTATTTGTTCTCAAAATACATTCAAAACACAGTCAACCATTATATTTGTTTTGATTCGAATAATATATTAGTTATGGTTAACTACTGGGATTTCTCCACTCTATTTAAAATAGATATTTTCTTTAGATTTAAGTGTAAGCCCGAGTAAATTTCAAAATACATTTATAATCTCGTATATCGTTATACATTTACAGCCATATACTTAATTAAGTGAGTGTGAGTTAAAAACTGAATGAAAACAATCAGCTTGACATAGAAGGAGCTAAAACATATAGACAAAAATAGAGTAAAATTTAAAACAATGACAGAGGCACTATATGCTCAAAATAGGGAGTTTGCTAGGTATCTAAAATTTAAAAAGCAGAAAGATAGGTCTTTTGGTGCAAATGAAAAAATATCCGCGCACTCAATCAAAGTTAAGTCACTCCACCCTAATTCAACAAGTACAAATCTAGAGAAATTAACGGGAAGAGGGAAATTCAAGCTGAAGGAGATTTAAGCTGTTATTTTGTTATCATAAAGGACAGGCATAAGTTCTTTGTTGTACGTCATAACAATTTGTAGACATTTGTCAGTCATGTAGACATTTGTTTGTTAGGTTACATGCTAACAATTTTTTTTTCACTGACCACTGAAACATAACTCACTGACATCCCCGTCATAAGGGTGCAGAAAAATTAGCTAATAGCATGCATATTTCAATGTATTTCTACAAATAATTGAAGACACGTGAAATGTTGAGGTATTTCAAAAGCAGCTGAATCCACATTTTTGTGTGGAAAATCTGACACTAATATATTATTTATATTTTAATTTGCTCAGTGATTCATTTGAACTGTCGAGATTAATTCGTTTAAGTTTGTATAAAATTTTACAATTATTTAAATCCCACAGAATATCGCTCCCTTTTGTTGAAAAAATTTTAAATATAAGGAAAAAAATCAAAAATAAAATTTGACATGCAATGTAAAGTATCAAAATAGGAACTATAAAATGTGAATCAACACGTTAGATTCAAACAGAAAACGTATTCATGCAATTAAATAAATTATATTTACCGAACATATATCAGAGTTTAATTAAAAATAAAGTAAATATGATTATTTTCATCTATACTTTAACTAAAGGGCATTATAAGTGAAAGTAAGGAAAATGATTCATTTGAAATTGTAAGGCTGATTGCCGTCATATAAATATTTTAATAGAAATTATTATTTCAAAAATGAATTTAAAACATATTAAAATAATATTAGGTTACGATGTAGTCTTACAACCGTTCCTATAAAGGGCCTTTATTCGCAAAAATATATTAAAATGCTATTATAATATATAAATTGAAAAAAAATTCATATACCATATTTTAGGTTTCCCAATGTAACCATTATAAGGATTTCAGCTTGAAAGGAATTTTTTGAACCGATGCTCTATTTGCATCAATATATTTTGCAATATATTTTTACAATATATTTTGCATTGTAAAACAAAAATATAAGACTATAAAAAAAGAATTCCTAACTTTAGGGAAATCTACTGACAGGTGCTCCAGTTTCAAAAAAAATAATATTTCTATATAAATGGAATAGGAACACATAGGTCAAAGTACAAACTAAAAGTTCAAAATTTTATATTAAATGTACAAGCTTCTAAAGAAGTTTACTAACTACTGCAGCATTTCCGTTGCACTAATATTTCCATATTAAAACTCCAAAGATATTAAGTGGTCTGAAAGAAAGACATCAAATGAAATTTTAATCATTAATATTCAATATTTATTGATATTAATACTGTGAATAATATATTTTGAGGCATATTTCACAGTAAAAAATAGATTGGAATTAGCTACAAACTTTAAATTCCAATGATTAAAGATAACAAAATATTTCAGATAACCGAGGGTTTAAATATTAAATAATTTATTAATTGTAAAGAAGCCGCGAGGGTGTTAAATTATTCATTTAGAATGAATTTATGAGGTTGGTAGCCTAACAAAATTGAATATTCTTTGTTTGTTTAAAAACGTGACTGAAAATCTCGTTTTGATCGAAAGTATATTGAAAGATAAAAGTAACATAGATAGAGTGCAATACTATGTTGTGTAATGTGTAGAAGATATCTCCAAACACTATTTATAATGTAGAATCGTTAAAGTTTAATTTCGCTAATTTCCTTAATGGGTTAAAGCATGTTTTTATCTTAAGCGACCGTGAAACAAATTAAAGACACTTTTTCGAGCTTTTAAAAGTGTTAACTGTAAAAGTTGATAAAATGATACGTGGCTGATTTCATTTAATTACTTTGTTCAAATATTTGGTGCGTTTTTATTCAGTTGAGCTTATATATTTTTTTAATACTTTCAATTATTAGTGATTCCTTACAGCCTTAAATATAAATCCTATTTATCTTCAGTAAACATAATTGTGTTAAATAAATAAATAGCAGATAAGATCTGCAAATGAAGTGCAATAAAAGAACATAAAAGGCAGGCATAAAAGCGAAATAACTTTACACTTATCTTTCAAAACCTGCTCGTATGATCTATTGAAAAGCATACTTATATAAATATTTATAAGATTTAAACATCCGAAATATTTTTCTCTCTTTTTAGTTTTGGAACATACAATGTCATTCCTTTGTATTGTTACATTATGCATATGTGGTCTAAGTAAGTTGTAAACGTATCCAAAATTTCCTAATAGTGACTTTTTTTTGCTTTTTACTTGGCTCCTAAAATTATAAACATTTTATTTCTAGCAAGTATTACTGAGTGTAAGTAAATCAAACCACCTTTTTAGTTGCATTTCAAGTTAATGAGTTGTTTTGGTAACTATTACTTACATTATTTTATAACCAATATTTTGCGATGAATCACACATCAATTACCATATTTTGTTTAGATTTAATTTCAGAAAAAAAGTGTTCTTGTACTTATACGTAACGTAAAAGTAACTTTCGAATCGTTTAAATACACTTAAAGGGAGATTTTTGACTGAAAATAGGGGAAGAGTTGATCATTTATGCAATGCACAGTAACATGTTTTTGCTTTCATTCTAAAAGTCTAATTCTATGATTCATAGAACTCGAGGCAGCATTAAATGTTGAGAATGCGGTGTAGAGTAAGTAAAATATTATTTTTTGTCATATATTGACAAATGCAAGAAATAGTTACGTTTACAAAGATATTGAAAACTAAATTTATTGAAGGGAATACAAATATTTGTCCGTTTTATGAATTTTTATTTAAAAAAATACTATTGAAACATATTTGAAAGAATGGGTTGAGAAAAAAAAGTACTTATTCATCACAAGTGTTTTTTGATTTACATATATCGTAATTGTCATTATTCAAACTTTGTTTATAGACTTAGAGATCTTAAATATAAATAAGACAAGCACCAAATTTACGTATCAAGTAACACCTTATTTTTATTCATACGACACCTTTTGACACGATGATTTTCTTTCATATATGCTGGAGAGGCTATGATAATTAATATTTTACCAATTTCTGTAGTATATGACTTGCTCACTTTGTTTTTTACAAAATTTTTTACGATTTACAGCATCCCCTATATTTGGATTTGGTAAGTATTTTAAAATGTTATGTAAATAAAAGTTTTTTTTGTATATATA